CCAGATGTAAGGAACTGGGTGGGCAGTTTATTTCCATCCTACATATAAAGGAGAAGGGTTGAAATAGGTGGGAGGATAGAAAGGTTGAATCTGAACACAGAATCCTGCACCTGCACTAGCTGTAAGACACTGGGCAAGTGACCTTACCTCTCTGAACCCCAACCACCTCATTTGTAAAACAATCCTAACAAAAGAATCCATCTCTTAGGTTTGGTATAGGCTTAAATGAGATAAAACAGGCAAAGCACTTAGACGGGTGCCTGAGCACTTAGACGGGTACCTGGCCATAAGCACTCAAAAGGGCCAGTCAGCTATTTTTTAGAAATGGTACAAGTGTACCACTGAGAACTAAAGTGCTCACATTCAGCATTTGGCAAATATTTTCGTATTAATTTTTGCTCATTTATTTAGTTATTTATTCATTTAACTCATTAATGAATTCAGCGTATTTTCACTGGGCATTTACTACCAGTCAGTTCTTGGCCCAGCTCATCCCCATTCGGCTGCATTTAGTGGGATCCAGCCCCCAGGAGATCCCAGTGCAACTCCCTTTGTAAGAACTGATGGAGTCTAGCCTGGCAGGAGGGCCGCTGAGAGAGCTGGTTTTTGTGGCAACTGGGGGTTTGGAAACTGTTGTCTGCAGCTCTGCCATCTCAGGCTGGAATGCCTGAATAGAAGAGACCCCTCTAGTACTTGAGCAGCACTGAGTCAAGGACAGCTTTCCACAGCCACCTTTGTTCTCCACTTGCCACCCTTGAGGGGGTGCGCACCCTTTCTCTTGAAGGCTCCGGCCAGCAAAGCTGGAACCTACTTTCTCTATAGTGGGACTCTGTCTCCTAGGATGGACCTCTATTGCTGGTTTACTGTGCTTTGTTGTGTAGAGTTCCTGGAACGATCCTACTGTGCTTTCAATGCCTCTGTCATCTCTATACTATTCTTGTAGGGCTGTTCCCTTCCTGCCCTTGCTGTGCATTTCACTGCCTGTCTCCTTTGGGCTGAAGTGGCCACACCACTACTCACATTTGTTTTGGGATCATCTAACTTCTCTGGGCCCCTTATCTTTATATTCTCTCCTCCCACTTCATGCCTTGCACTTGGGCTGTGTGGCAGAAACACTGCCGGGCAGGCACTCTGCTGCATGTCAGAGAGACATTTGTGCCTAACACATGCACAGTCCATGAATAGACATCTCAGGTGTGATAAGGGCCATCATGCATAATGCTGTGGGGGTAACCAGGGCGGAACAGCTGGCTTGGCCTTGAGAAGTCAGGGCCATTTTTACCCGGAGGAGATATTTGCGCTATCTTGAAGGATTTAGCTAGGTAGACAGTGGGAGAGAGGGAATTCCAGTCAAAGAGAATAGCATGTATAAAGGCCTGAAACTGTGCGATGTTCTTAGAGAAAATGCCGAGCGGTGTGAATAGAACCAAGGGAATATGTTATTGGGAGTCGAGCGTTCCTAAGTAGCAGAGGGAAGAAATGAGGCCAGAGAGGTCAACAGGGGCCTGCTTTTGAGGGGCTTGTGAACCAAACTGTGTGGTTTAGTCTTTGTCCTCCCAACACTGGGAGCCTGTGAAGGGGTCTATATAAGGGCATGACACAGTCAGATTTATATGTAAGAAAGGTGAGACACGTGGGTGTGAGGAGATGGATTGTCTCATTTGTCCTCTGGCAATTCTGTGAGGCAGATGGGACAGATACTATTATATGCTTTTTACACCTGAGAGCACTGAGGCCCAAGAGGTTAAATACCTGGCGGAAGGTCTCAGAGCCAGAAAGCAGAGGACCAAGGATTCAACTGGCTTCCTGGCTCCGAATCTCTTCCTCCTGGGCACGTTGCCATTGTTAACAGAGTCTTCTAGAAAGCTGCCTGCAGCTGAGCAGTGGGTAGATGCTGACAGGAGCAATATGAAGCCACTGGTCATTGATACAATCTCGTTGAAGGAGCATAGCACTGGGATTTTGTGGCCTGTGTTGTTCAGTCTTCTGCCCTCCGTACCAATGCACACACAGCAAGAAGCAGTGGGGAGCTTTGAGCTCCAAGCTGTACATCGCCTTGACAAAATCCATTCATCACTGTCTCGCTCATTAATTCAGAGCAGCATCTGCTGCCTGATATTGGCATTTGTCAGCGGCTTGTTTCTAGAAGGCCCTGGTCCTCAAGTTGGTCAGCTCTGCAGTCCACAGCCCCAGGGTGAGCCCTAGCAGTCAGAGGCAGGCTCTTTCTCTGTCTGCATTTCGTAAAATGAAATAACTTTATTTTTTAAAAACAAAGGTAACACGATCTAGCAGTATAGAATAGGAGCTTACAGATCAGACAGCCCTGGGTTTTAATTCTGCTACTACCACTTAGTTAGCTATGAAAGTTATTTAATATGTATGAGTTCAGTTTCTTATCTCTAAAATCAAACCTACCTGAAAAGATTATTGCAATGAGTAAGATGAGAGAATGTTTATAAAGTGCCTTGGCATGATGCCTGGCACATATGAGTCCTCAAAATATAGTGGCTTTAATTCTTGCTCTTATTGCTGCCACCATCACCACTACTACTACCACCACCATTAAAGAATATTTGAAAATACAGAATAGAAGAAAAAGTATAATTCTACCACCATGATGCAGTTGCCCTTATAATTTAGTTATATTCCCTTCAAATCTCCTCCCCTCCCCCCCGCCACACACACATACTACTTCAGAACATAGCAGATATTATAGCAGGCAGGGTTTTTTTCCCTTCTATAGTGGGAACTGCATTATATTTTACTGATTATAAGAATACTATATAAAATTCAGAGAGCATAGAAAAAGCAAAAGGAAAAACCACACTTGTAATGTCTACCTCACCCCTAGCCCAGAGGCAATCATTGTTAACATTTCGGTGTGTCTCCTTCCAGTCCTTTATTCAATGTTTTATTATAGAATTGAGATCGTATTACATATAGGCAGTTTTTAGTTCATAGGATATCATGAGTATTTTCCTTTATTGTAAGCATCATTTTCCAAGTCTATGTAATAGTCCATGAGATGGCTCTATCGTAATTTACATAAGTATTACCCTAATGTTAGATATCTAAGTTTCTACAGTTTTTCAATATGAACAGCTTCCTGTGACAGAATCTAGGGAACCAGCCTTGGTATATAATGCATATAATGAATTTGTGCTGTGTGTGTGGCCCTGGGAGAGGCATGGTGGGACCCCTCAGATAAATTAGATACAGAGCCTGTCTCAAAGGACCTCAGAGATGAGACAACCTGGAAATACTTACTGTGATAAAACATACAGGTGTTTCTTTGCCAGGCACTGTCAGGGAGTCCATGTAAGTGTGGGTAGCCCTCTTCCCTGTGGAAGCTGGGATCTGGGATCAGATATTATAAGGAAAAAAGCCTCAAGAAGCTTTGCTGCCCCTTTGCACCTACCAATGTAAATAAAGTTATTTCATTTTACAAAGTGCAGACAGAGCAAGGGCCTGCCTCTGACTGCCAGGGTTCACCCTGGGGCTGTGGACTGCCAAGCTGACCAACCTTGAGTACTAGGGGCTTCCAGAAACAAACCACTACTGATTTGGCCTCCAGTGCTCAAGTAACAGCCTTTTGAGCCTGTTACTGTCAGGAACCTGTGCTGATTGCCTTTGACTATCACTTCCAAATGATTT